ATCTTCCACCTTGTTACCATTCCAGACCCAGTGCATTTGTAAGGACTCAGGGAGAGCTTGCTCAGCTGAACTGAATTTGATCTCGTGAGCTTTCCAAATCATCACCATCTGCAGCTTCTCCTTGATCAGATTAATGATAGCTAACATCTCTTCTTCATAAAACCGTTTACTATTTCTTTCCCTCCTTGCTTGCCTTTGCTGCTTCCAAGGATATGAGCCTTCTATGATCCTAACTGCTTATCTCACATGATGAAATGTCACCCTCCCTTACATAGCTTTACAATTAGTTTATTTTTCAGTAGACACTACCTTCCATTCTGAATATGGGCCTTGACATAAAAACATCTCCCTCTCTCTCTCTCTCACTCTCTCTTTCTCTGTCCCTTTCTCACATACACATACATACACCATTTTATTTTTTCACAGGTCAAAAATGAGATTTGAATTTTCAAAACTCAGTAATGTATATAAGAATAAATTTCAAAAAGCTTTATGCCCACAATATAAATTTAGGAAGCCAATCATATAATGAATATTTACATACACAAATACAAACACACACATTTGATGAATACTATTTAATAGTATTAAATTTTTATGGGCCACTAAGAGAGAAAGTGATGGTTATATTAACAAAAACAATGCTTATATATAAATACTACTCCTATTCTGAGAAAAAAACGGGAATCAACAATTTTTTAGTGAAAATTCAAAATAGAATATATTTTAGCCCATTAGCTTCGAATGCCTCCTGCAAAATCAGAAATATGTCCTTCTAAAGCAAACCTAATAGGTCATTTGAAGCAAAGATATTATCAAGAAACATTAACTTTTCCACAAAGCATAGCAATCAAAGCACTTCCCAAAATCCTATCTAATGCTGGCAATCACTATTATTATATAATCAGTCCAGCCCCCAGAGTATAGGGAAAAAATATACACTTGACTATTTTCAATCACAAGTTGTTTAGAGAATAAAATATTCTTTGAGCAAAACCTCATGAGAACTAGAATTCCCTTTTCAATATATGGTCTCTCCTAGAGCTGTAACTAAATATTACTGAGTGGCAGAAAAACAAATCTCAAGAAATGATGGACTTAAAAAAATTTCATTGTAGAAAGCACAAAGCAAGTCCTAATAATACCAATTTGAAAATGATAGCTCCCCTGCTTCGAGAGAAGCAGATATAAAAACTCACAGTAATGACTAAAAGACCCAACTGGATCTCTTGAGCCTCTGATGGACTTTAAGAAGCATGATCACTAAAGCAGCTTAAACTAGAAATTCAGTTTTATTTGGTAGTTGATTAAATCATTATTATATTCATAGATCTTGAAATTAATAGTTCAATTTTAATCAAAACCTTTTGAAGCCAAATTCAATAGTGTATAACACAGAACATGAAATTAATTTTGTTAAATCCTTAGATGTCCTATGTTGAAATTCTATTAATTCCATGACATTAAAGATAATAATAATATGCCATTCATTTACTAATTGTATCCTTTAAATCCATACATCGAATAGGAGGAATTTCATTAATATAAAAGTACAATTAAAGTTGGCTGGGTTTATATTTTGTCCTATACTATTACTACAAAATTATTTGTAATCTATTTCTTGAAATGAGGGAGCTATCACTTTCCAACTGGCTTATTAACACTTTGTGTATCCTGACCTGGATGATCTCTAAGGCCTCTTCCAGCTCTAAAAGGCTATAATATGCTACATTATACACGTTATCTTTAAGTCTCAAAACTTCCTGAAGTCATTGCATATTATTAACAACACTTTGATCTCTCTAGTAAACCCAGAGAGGAAAGTGGCTTTAATTTTCTCTTGCAATGCAGCAGAGAAAATAAAGACCAAGACTTGAATAAGAGCCATGACCATGGCCTAAACTAGAAAACAAGCTGTTACCTCAAAGGGAGAGAAAAATTACCTGTAAGTAATTTATGCTTTCCATCTATATTCTATAAAATACTGAGACTACTATGTTCAAAAGAAATATAACTGTGGGAAAGCCATACCAGGGTACACAAGATCTTGGGATGTCATTAAAACAAAGGCTCATTTCCAAAAGCAAAAGATAAAAGCTTCCTCTTGGGTCATTTTCTCTTCAGTCAAAAGCAATTATGAATTCACAGCAAAAATAACAGCCAGATTCTGAGGATGCAGAACTAGAAAAACTCCATTTTTTATGGTTTAAAACTTTTAATTTGACAGATATCTCTTTATAGAGAAATTTTAACCCCCCCACAAAAGCCATTAGTCTATTGAAAAAAAACAATAAAGGAATATGTGCAAGAAAAATATATTTAGGAAAAGTGATGAATTTTTAACAAAAAGAAAAACATTGCACTTACTATTGAAAGAAATAGTATTTTGATTAAATAATTTTTAAACTTCATATTATAGGGGGTAGGCCCTGTAGCCAAGTGGTTAAGTTCACGCACTCAGCTTTGGTGGCTCGGGTTTTCGCCCATTCAGATCCTGGGCCCAGACCTATACTCCATTCATCAAGCCATGCTGAGGTGGCATCCCACCTAGGAGAACTAGAATGACTTACAATTAGGATCTACAACTATATTCTGTGGTTTTGGGGAGGGAAAAAAAATTAAAATTAAATTTCATACTATAGTCAGGTAAAGAGATGGAGAGTAACAGTTCTAATAAGCATAAAATGGAACAAGCTAAAAAAAAGACAATAATAGGGGGAAAAAAAAGGAGGAAAAGAAAACAGAAAGATGGAAGAAAATAAGACGTACAGCCAGGGGTTTAAGAGATGAAAAAATGGAGAGGAATATATAAATACTTAGGTAGAACCATATAAACTGCAAATCACTTAGGTTGCAACCTGCATAAGTTTTCCAAACATCCCATTAGCTCTTCAGCAAAGAACTATTCACAGATCTGCAACTGCTTTTAGTAACGCATCAAGCTTTGAAGAAACAGTCTACAATCTACAGCACTATGATCAAAACAATGGTGTTCTGATCAACAACAGGATGAGTGCCAAAGACCCAAACAATCAAACAACGGTTGCTAGTGAGCTGCACCTTGCCTTATTTCAGACCTTCCACCAAACTGTAAAAGTTATAAAATAAAAACCTGTTGGCACCAAGTAAATTTTTTAATCAAAAAGCACATACCCTCTGTGGTGAATTAAGCCAGCTTCTTTTATTTTGCATCTAGCCACTGGAGTCCTGGAACGCTCAAATTAGGAAGATTCATGCAACTTATATTGCTGATTGTGTTTTTGCTGTTGCCATCTCAGTTATAACTCTGGCTCACTTTCCAGACTATTGAGTACAGTGCCTAATAAGCAAGCACACCAAACTCAAGACTCAGCTTAATGACTCTGACATGCTTTTCTCCACCACTGATTCATCCTTCAGAACGGGGAGTTCAGAGGTGGGAGGGCCACAGAATTTTGGGTAGCACATAACAGTGAACAGGCACCAGAGTATGCTACACCAAGAGCTCTGAACTTTCTAAAACCCCACATCCAAACTACTCCAACAATAAATTCAACCACAGAGCAAGCAATGATATCAACCCCTGACTCGTAAAACATTGACTATCTTGAGTTGAATGGAGACTGTATATAACATTGGATCATTTGAAACTGATAAAGAGTATAAATTTTATCCCATCATTACCGTTCCATCCCATCGTTACCTTTCTATCTGGGCAGCATTGGTTTGGCCACCTCTTCTTAGTATAACCCACAGTCTCCAGCTTTTTTTGACAAGGAGAAAAAATATTCATTTTCCTCAATAACTGATATCACTGAGTTATGGGCTATAACTGAAAGTAAAGTAGCAAGTCTGTGAGGAAGGTATGTTTGTGGGGAACAAAACAAAGAGGAAATAGGGCATTACTCTACACTTTATGCCCTCCCTGTTGGGGTTTCCAGGAAACTGCAGGAGTATGCTGCATCAACCAAATAAATCCACCCAACAAACGTTTATTGAGCCAAGTACTATAGTGGAAACTTAGAATGTAAAATGAATTAAGTTAACCTCAAAGCATTCACAGTCTCTTGAGAGAGATAATACACATCAGCTTTGGATGATGTAATGATGAAGATGCTAAACTAAGTATTAAAGAAACAAAGTTGGGAAGGGGCAGAATTCTGACTTTAGGTGGATGGGAGAGTAGGGAAAGATGGGAGAGTAGGGAAAGATGGAATGGAGGAAAGCTTCCCAGACTGCAAGATATCAGAGAGGGGCGTCACAGGATATACAGGAATTTGTTCACGGAAAAGAAGAGAAGGAGCATTTCAGCCAATGTGGGTCAAAAAAATGAACAGTGTGAACAAAAGGTGGAAGATATGAAAGTATATAATGTGTTGAGGAAGCCAAGAGTACTCTAATGTGGCTGAAGCAAGACACTCAGTAAACGATGGCAAAAGAAGAAGCTGGAAAAGTTAACATGGAGCCCAAAGAAAACGGCCTTCGATTACATGACAAGCAACTGGACTTTATTCTGAAAGCAACAGGGAAACATCAATGGTTTTTAAATAAAGGGAGAGTGACAAGATCAGATCAGTATTTTAGAAAGATAAATTTGGTGATGGTGTGAAAGCTAGATTATCAGGAAATAGAGATAGAGTGATCAGGTACAAAACGATTACAAAAGGGAGTCTTTGAAATCATTAGACCTATTCATTATAAACCCTGATCCCCCCTTCACCTAGGTAACCTTGTTTTATACACACACACACACAAAAAGAAAAACCCTGAATAAATTTTAAACATTCTATAATTCAGAGTTTTCACTAATTCATTAGTTTTCCCAATTATTCCAAAGAAGAGAGGTTTCATTATGTACATCTTCGTTGTAAGCAGCATCTAAAGTTTTGAAAATTTATATCAATGTTACTAAAATTACTTTCACACTATTATCTCACAGCATGTAGTGAGGAAAAAACCTGTTAAACATCAAATTTGACCCAATAAAGTAATTGCCATAGGGTTTTCTTTTTTATACTTACCATTACAAGCTCTTCCTGCAATTCACTGCAACTTTTTTCATTATACTGGAGTCTCTTTGAAAGGTCTATAATTACTTTCTTCTGTTCCTCGATCTCTTCATTTAGTTTCTTGTTTTGGGAGAAATACTCTCTTTCTAGTCTGAAAAGTTAGAGTGTCAGAGCAAGTTCTTCAAATATGCTTTTATCAAGTCCTATTATACACCTTTAACATAAGTGGCAGATGTACTATATATCACATTTTCAAGCCAAAAGGCTTTTAAAGACCACCTCTCATTTTTTCAAATAAAAAGAACTGCACATTCTTAAATGAAAGACTCTAATAGAATAATATCTCCCCACTTTTGTTAGCAGATATTTGTACCAAGCCCAAGGTTATAAGCGAATAGATTTAGTTATGTTGATTTGGTATCACCATTATCTTTGATGAACAAAACCCACCCACCACAGTTCAGTTAGCTCAGAAACCACCTCAAAACAGAAACCAGTCCCATCAAGTAATTTTCAAATTAAAGTATAACATTAGAAATGGAATAAGTGTTTATTCCTGAAAGTCCATACAAGTGAAACTGGTGTGGTGCTATGGAAAACCCAAAAGCAAGAGTAATCGCAAATCATATTCACTGTAAAAAATATAAATTTCTCTTCAAAGGATTTGCCTTCCTATTTAAATTTTCCTCAAGCTGGTATTAAACTGTATTTACATTCTTGTGTGGATATATGATGAAGGCAGCTTGGAAGTATTTCACTTTAAAATTTGCTGTAGGTAATCCATCGAATGAATAATTTTAATTCAAATTAAAATGTTACCATTATTTTTAATCTGAGGTCTTCCCAGTAAATATAGCAGACCCATTTCCTATGATTTTTAAACTGGAATGCGGGAGATAGGATGATGCAGTATAACCAAATCCACACTACAGTCAGGCCGTAACCAAATAAAGAGCTAATTTTTGAATGGCACATGATCTTACTCTGAACAGTCAACACTCCTTTCTCTACAATGGAACACAGACAATTCTAGTGCCAACCCTTTTGTATATTCCCATTTAGATCAAGGATATTCCAAGGTAGAGTAGCTAAAACTTAAAATAAAAATGTATAGAAGGATTAGACACTAAATTTATATAAATCTCCAGACAGTGGAACTGAACAGCAAAAACAGATCAAAGTAGAGAAAAGATAAGAAAATCAATCCAGGAATCCCAAAATACAAATAATAGAAGTTCCAGAAAGAAAAGGCAAAAGAAAATGGAAGGGAAAAAATCAGCAAAGTAATAATGCAAGAGAATTTCCCAGAAATGAATTACTTGAGTTTCTAAAATTGAAAGAGCTCAATGAGTACGCAGCATGTATGAAAAACAATCCATGCCAGGCCCATCATCATGAAATTTCAGAACACTGAGAACAAAGAGAAGTTGCTGCAGAGTGTCCAGAGAATATGGAAATTCATATATATTATTATTTTATCATGTGTTATAATGTAATATGAGTAAACCATTTCTAGATAGTCGCCTGTTTCCAGACTTGGTGGCCACTCTGTACGAGTTTCCAGAGGAAAACATGGGCCACATACAAAAGATCAGGAATCAAATGACTTCAGACTTCTTGACACTAGAACTGAATGAATAACCAGTGAAGTACGAAAGAAGGTAGAGATCGAAAAAAGACATTTTCAGTATGTAAGTTTTAAAATTTTTCCTCTGATGTGGACTTTCTCAAGAAGCTACTTGGAGTAAATCAAACAAGAAAGAAGGCACAAAATCAGCAAACAAGAGATCCAATATTGAAGAGAAGTAGAGGAAATTCCAAGGATGATGGTGAAGGGAAGTCCCAGGATGACTGAAAAGGGAGCCTAAATAACAATTTATCCAGCATGGAGATAATGGAGAAAGGAGTCCAGGAGGGATGACTCTTAGACAAAACTTACATACGACAGACTTTCTGAGGTGTAGCAACATAATTAGAGATTTTCAGTTCTGTCAGAGAGTTTAAGAATAACTCAAAGATTGGTGCACATAAACTAATACAATTTAAAAATGAAACAATTATTAACTATTCATTCCTTTGATGATTCAGCAAATCTTCAGTTAGCAGCTCTTCTGTGCCAGGCACTATTCTAGGCATTGGGAGACAGCAACGAGCAAAACAAAGTTCCTCTCCACATCAGAAAACAGACAATAAACAACAAAGAATATAATAAAATGTGCTATAAAGAAAAATAAAGATGAGTTACCCAAAAAAAGTGGTTAGTTGGTGATAATTGGAATGCAAAACTTGAGTAAAATTTTTCAAGCACCAAAACACAAATAATAGCAAAACAAACTTAAGAAAAAAATTTGCTTTGGGGTCAAATTAGAAGAGCACACAGGTTAAAATCTTAGAATCGTTCACAGGTATCTCAAAGTTCCTCTAGTCCAACCTTTGCAGGACCCTCTTCTTCCTCAATATCCATGGCAGAGAGTCATCCACCCTCGGTTTTGAACTTCCCAATGAGGGAAGCTCACTGGTTTCCCAAAGAAGCCTATTATTTCACTGTTGGAAAAGTGTAATTGTCGGGGGTACAGTCTGACTTCTTTCAGTTTCACTTGTAGGTCCTAATCATTACCTCAGAGCAACAGTAAAGAAGTCTGCACTGTATTCTACATAAAGGCCCTTCAAACATATTTATATATAAATGTGCAAGTTCAAGCAGTGGTTCAAAGAAAGTAAAGGAGGAGAAGGCCTTAGAACAACATTCACAGAATGTCATTTGAGTCACCCTAGAGGAAGCAAGAAAGTTCAGTTCAGAATTACTGGTTTAAAATATTATAAGCATTACTAATAAAGGTAATCATAGTTAGAGTTTTAAATTTTTTCAACTTCAATATTTCAAGTGCCATCTTTATGATTTTTGCCATACTCATAATAATCACTACTACTTAAATAATACTTTTCTTTGACTCACCTCTTTACTTAAATGAAGTATTTTAAAAGGAATCTTTATATTACTGCTATAAATGGAAAACCATTATCTATTTGTCATAAATAGAAACTAACATTAAAAATAAATACATAACTCTAATGTACCAACCTATTATCATGTCATATACTACTAGTGGGAGGCATATCACCCTCTGGGGGGAAATGGTTTAAAATGTCTATTATCGACTTTTTTTTAAACATATTAAAGAATTATAAACTTCTTAAAGCAACCCACAGAACATTCCAGATGAAAGGCTTTTCAATTGAAAAAGGTTAAAATTAGTAGAGTCAGAAAGATCCTGACTCTGCCACCTATTAGCTGTCTGTCCTTACCCTCCTTAAGCCTCAATTTCCACATCTGTAAGCCAGAGATAAAAAGAGGAGCTGCCTCAGGGCCGGCCCTGTAGCACAGTGGTTAAGTGTGCACGTTCCACTTCGGCAGCCCAGGGTTCGCTGGTTTGGATCCCAGGTTCAGACCTGGCACCGCTTGGCAAGCCATGCTGTGGTAGGCGTCCCGCATATAAAGTAGAGGAAGATGGACACGGATGTTAGCTCAGGGCCAGTCTCCCTCAGCAAAAAAAAAAGGAGGATTGGCTGCAGATGTTAGCTCAGGGCTAATCTTCAAAAAAAAAAAAAAAAGAGGAGCTGCCTCATAGGGTGTTAAGTAAATTAAATGGACCCATGCAATGCCACGCACAAAGTGAGCCACAATGCATGCTAGCCACTAGGAGCAGTAGTACTCCTACGACTATTATTTCTGCAGTTTGAGAAGATTTGAAACATCTATCTCCACATAGACCATTTTAGGTGGCCTAGAAATCAAGGTCTTTAAAGATACTGTATTACATCAGGAAATACAATATAAAATACATTAATATACTTACTTCCTAGTGTAAGTACTTCATTTTTGAGACTACTTAGAATAGCCATGATACTTCAAAATCCAAAAGAGCATTTCCATATTTACCTATACAGGGAAGTACAGCTATGTTTCATCAAGTCCTTTACCTCCAACCTACCACTGCCATTAACGGGAGTTAGATCTAAAATCCTGCACATTCAGACTTATATAGGTTTCACAACCTCTTGATATTTAGAGAATTTTAAAGTAAAACACTTACAAACTTAGTTTTGCAAAGGTCTCTTGTGCATTATGCTTTTCTCGCTCATAGGCACTTTCAACTTCTTTGAATTCATTCTTGATCATTTCCAAGTCAGCAACAGCTTCTGCTTGGCTGGCCTTTTCTACCTGCAAAGCTCCTTCAAGGTCTCGAATCCGTAACTACCAGATGACAGAGAAGTCAGGAAAGCAAGTAAGGGAATGCTAGCGTCAGTCTCAAACTGAGGAGAGTAACGGATCAACAGCAGGTTATCATTCATCCAAACATTTCTTTCTTTCTGCTTTGGTTTAAAAAGGAAAATAAACAAGGCAGTTTATTCTCTTTCTCCACATGCTTAAAGGAAGGGAGGACAAGTGAAAGAATGAAGAGTGAACTGTGCTATGAAAAAGGAGAAGCTGACACAATATACCCCATCCCATCAACGTGCCTCATCCTGACCTACTAATCCATTTGGACACTTCTTTTATAAAACATGACAAATCAAGTGGGTTTTGAAAACTCAAGGGAAGTATTCTTCCTCTCTTATGAGAAACACATTACATGAACATCTTTATAAGCCTAAGAAAGTTAATAGATCTCTTTATTCCTGGAGATTTCTTACTGCAGAAATGTGAAGTTTTATTATCAAATAATAGTATTTGACTAAAATACTTATGGGTGTAGTAATACGACATCTAGAATTTGTTTCAAAATAATCTGGGGGTGGGGAGTGGAGGAGGGCAATAGATAAAACTCAGTTGGTCTGAGGTTGTCTTGAGCCTGAATGATAGGTACACGGCAGGTTCGTTTTACCATTCTCTCTACTTTTGCATATAATTGAAATTTTACATAATAGGATACTTTAAAAACTAGATTCCCTATATACACCAACAGTAGAATAGATAAACAAAGTTCATTCCCATAAAAGAATAACATGTAGCTGTAATCAGGCTACAGAACAGTTTCCAAAAAGGAAGCTCTCTGTGTAGTGTTAATATACTGAAAAGAGGAAGGTCCAGATCATTGTATATCGTATTCTAAGGTTTGGAAAATGAAGTGGAAAAGGTAAGAATAATTAACAGGCAAGAGGGTAGAGCAAGGGGAGGGACAGGAGTGAAAGCAAGAATTCTCCATCGTTTAATATTGTTGTGATTTTTTAACTATGTGGTTATTTTTCCTTCTCAGAAAATTAAGTTAAAAATTTTAAATAGTTTACTAAAGTTCAAAAAAAGAAGGGGAGTAGAAAAAAAATGCTTCACACTAGATAGAAAATGGGATTTAGGACCATAACGGGTTTGAATCCCAGATCTATAAATTAACTTATGTGAACTTGGGCATATTACTAAAACTCCAAAAACCTGAAGTTCCTCATCTGTAACTGGTAAATAACAATAAAAATAATGTACAGACTATATACTTTACAGCATTGCTCCAAAGATCTGAGACAATATTTATTTAATATTAATATTTACTTAATATTAAATATAAATGGATAATATTTATTTAATAAAATTAAATAGGTACTTATTAAGCATTTAATATGTGCCAGGCAATGTGCTAGTACACAAGATGTATACCATAATCATGAAAATATAGATATACAATCTTTGCCCGTGTGGAGCTCACAGTCTTCAGGAGAGGACAGACCACACAGAATGTGGTAGGCGCTCCTGTCACAGAGGCACAACAAAGGGCCTGAAATCAGAGAAAAGCTGTGAACTCTGCATGGGACAACCCTCCCAGGGGATGGCAAAAGACGACCTGAGCTAGGAAAGAGGAACTCGCCAAAAAAATGAAGCCTATGACGATATGAAAATGTTTCACAAATTAATCTATACAGATAACAATCACCAGAATTATTATTTCTAATTATCCAAAAATATTTTGGAATAACTGAAACATTCATTCTTACTCTAAAGTAAGGAAGTAAAATAGATAGGTAGATACAACTTTGTAAATTTTCAAATTTGGTCTTTTAAACTTTTTCTTTGCTGTTTTGTCTAAATCCAATGTTTATAAGTAAAATTATAAATCGAGGAGGGGCTGGCCCCGTGGCCGAGTGGTTAAGTTCGCGCGCTCCGCTGCAGGCGGCCCGGTGTTTTGTTGGTTAGAATCCTGGGCGCGGACATGGCACTGCTCATCAAACCACGCTGAGGCAGCATCCCACATGCCACAACTAGAAGGACCCACAACGAAGAATATACAACTATGTACTGGGGGGGCTTTGGGGAGAAAAAGGAAAAAATTTAAAAAATCTTTAAAAAAAACCTATAAATCGAGGAAACATTTTCTTCTGTCTATACTGCTATCTTCTGTCAGAAAATAAGCATACTCAATCACAAATGATAAACCAATCCAACTGAAATAAAAGTAGACTTCAATTACCGATTTTGAGTCAACTCTTTTGACTCTACTTTCTCCTTTTTATGACACAGCATCCAAACAAATTTAATAACAGAATACTTCTAAAATACACTTAACTAGTTTATGATAAGATGGTGATTAATTACAACTATTTAGTAGTCTCATTTGCTTTTAGACTAGTCTGAAATGAATTTTACTAGGTGTACCTCACTGAAAATACTTGTCAATATTTATAGATATATGATTCAAATACCACTTTTGCTTTTTTCCTAAGTCATAGCACTTAGTTAGATATCAAATATGAATTTTTAACTATATGAGTAAAAATACACATATAATAATTTTCATTTTTATACCTATTAACTATACATTCCCAGTGATATAGCTACAATGAAAAACTTCATTTTGAATTATACTTCTTTCATGAATTTAAAAGTTTAGCCTTATTGCTCATTGATGCCATTTTGGGTGATTCAATTATTTTTTTTTAAAAAAAGCTCAACTTACACTCGTTTGCTTAATATACAGACATACTCAAATACATGAGTCTGAGAATTTTGCAGGTAAAGGGGGCATTTCATTAAAGATAAAAATCAAATACATTTTGTTATAAAATTCTTACAAATTTAGTTGCATCTTATATTAAGACCTGTTTAAACAATAAGGTAAAACTGTAAATTCTATTAATTAACATTTAATATAGAGAAAAAGTCTGAGTCTTAAAAAAAATACAAATTAAATTAAGGAACTTAGACTTACGGAACTTTATGTAAAACTTTATCTACAACATAGGCTGAGGGCAGACTTGGTCCATGGGCTATAGTTTGCCAACCCCCCATTAAAATGCCTTCACTTCTCTTAGAAATTCCTTCTCATTCTCTAAGACATAGGGAAAAGGACACTTTCCTAAGGATGCCTTCATTCAATTCTCCTCTCAGGTTTAATCCCTCTCTTGATTATGTTCCCACAGTATTCCAGTATTTCATATTTCACCTATACATTTATCTACACATAGATGTGGATATATAAATATAGAGAGAGATAGTATTTCTGGTAATGGAAGGTAAGTCCCAAAAGGAGCTCATTCGCCTTTTTATCTTCAGCTCTTAATATAATCTTAGGTGATATGCACAGGATATACACTCAATAAATGAAAGTGCATTTTTTTTAAGATTTTATTTTTTTCCTTTTTCTCCCCAAAGCCCCCCAGTACATAGTTGTATATTCTTAGTTGTGCGTCCTTCCAGCTGTGGCATATGGGATGCTGCCTCAGCATGGCCTGATGAGCAGTGCCATGTCCACGCCCAGGATTCGAACCAGCGAGACCCTGGGCAGCCGCAGCAGAGCGCGCAAACTTAACCACTCAGCCACGGGGCTGGCCCCTGAAGGTGCATATTTTTTAAATGTTTTCAAAAAGAAATTCATCCCGTGGCTGTTGATAAAAAGAATACTCTGATCAGCTAATCTTTCTGTAACCGGGCAGATGGTAAACATTTTGGACTTGGCAGGTCTTAGGGTCTCTGTCACAACTACTCCACTTTGCCACCATAGCACAAAAGCAGCCACAGATGAGACAAAACTCCACAAGAACAGGCCGTGGGTGAGACATGGCCTGTGGGCTGTAGTGTGCCAACTCCTCTAATACATCAAAGATTCTCCTCAACTACATCCCTACAGGAAATCGTGTCTTAACAATATGCCACCCATTCTAAACGAAAACCTTAGTTCTCGGAACATAAGGCTGTTTTTCCCCAGCTTAATAAAGCCCACACAAAAAATGTTTGTTTACATTTTACCTGAATAATTTCAGAATTAAATTTTGATTCCAAATGTGCTGCTCTTTCTGCTTCAATATTTTCTTCTAATTTCCTCACTCTTAGAGTAGTTGCCTGAAAACAAATTAAAAGTTAAAACTCATAAACATTGGTATTTAAAGTGGACATGGATCACTATATTCCCAAATAGCTACTAATACTTTAGATTACCATAGCCTCATTTTTTTCACTTTGTAGGAGTGTAAAAGTCATGTAAAAAAATCAGGTAAAAACCATACTCGGGAAGAACACTCCAGAGCTTGCTTTCTTTTTCTTTTTTATTGAGGTACAATTTACATATAATAAACTATATATATTGAAAGTGTATAATTTGATACGTTTTGAGATATATATATACATGCACGAAATCATTGCCACAACCAAGATAGGAAATGTTTCCATTAGCCCTAAAAGATTCCTTGTCTCCCTTGGTAACTCCTTCATCCGGCCCACACCACCCCACCACTATCCCCAAGGAACCACCAATCTGGTTTTTGTCACTATGGATCAGTTTGCATTTTCTCCAATTTTATATAAATTGAATCATACAATGTGTACTCTTTATCGCTTGGCCTCTTTCTCCCAGCATGATTATTCCGAGATTCATCCACGCAGTTGCACGTATCCATAGTTCACTCCTTTTTATTGTTAAAGTGTCCCACTGTGTGGATACACCACGCTGGTTTATCTATTCACCTGTTGATGGACATGTGAGTTGCATCCAGTTTGGGCTATTACAAATAAAACTGCTATGAGCATTTGTGTACAAGTCTTTTATGGACAAACACTTTCATTTCTCTGGAGTAAATAGTGAAGGGTAGAATGACCGGGTCAAATAGTATGTTTTATGTTTAAAGTTTAATGTTTTATGAAACTGAAAAACTGTTTTCCAAATTACTTCCAATTTTATGCATCCTCACTAACGCTTGCCATGGTCATTTTTGGTTTTTTCTGTTTTTGTTTTTTGGGGGTTTTTAGACATTCAAATAGGCACATAACGGTATCTCATTTTAGTTTCAATTTGCATTTCCCTAATGACTAACGACATTAAGCATCTTTTCATGTTATTTATTACCCATCTGCATATCTTCTTTGGTGAAGTATCTCCTCAAACCTCTTCTCCATTTTTTAAATTGGGTTGTTTGTTTTTTATTATTGAGTTTTGCGAGTTCATTATATAATCTAGATACGAGTCATTTGTTGGATATGTGATTTGCAAATATTTACTCCCAGTCTACAGCTTGTCTTTTCATTCTCTTAAGAGTGTTTTTCACAAAGCAAAAGGTTCACTAAGATAACATTTAACATATTAAGTTTTCAGGCAAGAGTCCACTTCTGGCCAGAAGCAGAAATCAAGAGCTTTATTTCTGAATGCCATTTTTGTTGAGAAAATGCAACCCTGGGAAGCACTGGTTTCCTAGTCCCAAAGAGGGAACTGGTCATCACCAAAAGCCTATTAGGGTCTGGGCAGGAAGGGTTATGGCAACACCACCTGCACATGTCTCAAGATACCAGCAGCAAAGAACAGCCATGCTGAGAGTCCTGTCAAATACAGACAGTGGGATAGTGACGGAGAAAGACATTACTAATCTGATTTTCTTTCCTAGCTAAAATTTGGGCAAGAAATAAGTTTCTATTCATTATGTTTATTCTATCATTTAGCCTAAGGTGAAGCTTTTTTTAAACGCTCAATTTGATTAATTTGATTTTTTCCCTTTTTCTCTCACCATTTCTTTTTGTTTACAGACAGAGATGGTAATGGATCATAACAAGAAGGGGCATAAATTAAAAGCCGGATAATCCACAAACTAATCAAGCAGTCTATAAATAAGTAAGAAAAGACTACACTTTTCTTTGAGCAAAGTAATTCCCGTAACTTCTGTTAGGGTGCAGAGCATAAACACAGATATCTCTTCTTCTCTAGAGGCCTCTTCAGATATCACTTGCTACTAATGGCCTTCATAGTCAAGAAGCAACTCTTCTTAGGGACTTAACCACTTTGCGTTTCACAAACATGAAACCCAAAAAATATTTTTTACACTGAACTATTTGCTTTATTTAGATTGTGCAATCCTGTCAATCATAGTTCTTAACGAGTTAATACACTAGAAAAGATCTTTTTCCAGAGGGCAGATAAAGCAGTAAGTCCAAATATGATCCTTTTGGGTCTAAAGATAATTTAAATCCAAAAGAATAAGTTGATACTTTAAGTATAATCTCTTTGAAGGTAAAATCTGATATTTATATCCACTGAAAGAAGAAACTAGCACATATTCATAGTTTAGTCTGAAGACTCAAGACATTCAGAAAAACCGGAAATGAGGAAATTTGGATATTTAATACTAAGAGATTTTAATTACTTTTTTATGTGTGATAACAATTGGTATTATTTAAAACTCCTAGCTTTTTAAAATACATACTAAAGTGTTCACGGATGAAATTATATGATGCCTGGATTTGTTTTAAAATCATCAAAGCTGAGAGTTATAAGTAAGGGGTTGGTTCCCGAAAGAATATTGGCCATAAGTTGATAGCTGTTGAAGCTGAGTGATAGGCACAGAGAGTTATTATAGTGTTCGTTCTACTTTCATGTGTCATTGAAATTTTCCATATTGAAAATTTTTCTTTTTAAGATTTTATTTTTCCTTTTTCTCCTCGAAGCCCTCTGATACACAGTTGTATATTTTTAGTTGTGGGTCCTTCTAGTTGTGGCATGTGGGATGCTGCCTCAGCATGGCTTGATGAGTGGTGCCATGTCCGCGCCCAGGATCTGGACCAGCGACACCCTGGGCCACTGAAACGGAGTGCATGAACTTAACCACTCGGCCACAGAGCCAGCCAATGAAAATTTTTTTTAAACAGCAATGAAAGCAAAGTATTAAGGTTAATGAGAAAGTATGGTGCTGGTATCATTATTTACCCAACAAAATTATATTTTGACAACAAAAGATTATTAGAATAAATTAAGCCATTTATACCTAAACAGCAAAAGTAAATGGGAAGGTGGGAGTTTAAATCAATCAATTCCTACCTATATTGTTGAAATATTAAGATAAATCAAAGAAAATATTCCCTTCATACTCACTTTCATCTTTCTCAGGACATGTTTCACACCAAATATTAATCCCATAGGATGTTATTAGCTATTATACAAAAAAGCAATTTCATCATCATAAGCATGTGAGAAACAAAGGACTAAAGCCAAACAATTTTCTTTACTAAAGGACTTCTCGAAAAGTCAACATGACAATCCTGAGAAAGAAGAACAAAGTTGGAAGAGTCACATTTCCTGATTTCAAAACTACTACAAAGCTACAGTAATCAAAACAGTGTGAAACTAGCATAAGGAAAGACATATAGATTCACAGAAAAGAACTGAGAGTCCAAAAATAAACCCAGGCATCAGTGGTCAATTGATTTTTGACAAGGGTGCCAAGACCACTGAATGAGAAAGAATCATTTTTCCATTAAATGGTACTGAGACAACCGAATATACACATGCAAAAGAATAATCTGGACCCCTACTTCACATCACATATAAAGATGAATTCAAAATGGATCAATGACCTAAACAAAAGAGCTAAAACCATGACACTATCAGAAGAAAATACAGGGGTGAATATTCATGACCTCAGATTTGGCAACAGATTCTGAGATATGACACCAAAAGCAGGGACAACAAAAGAAAAAATAGGGGCCGGCCCAGTGGTGCAGCAGTTAAGTGCACACATTCTGCCTCAGCGGCCCGGGGTTCAGCAGTTCGGATCCCAGGTGTGGACATGGCACCGCTCGGCAAGCCATGCTGTGGTAGGCGTCACACATATAAAGTAGAGGAAGATGAGCAAGGATGTTAGCTCAGGGCCAGTCCTCCTCAGCAAAAACAGGAGAATTGGCAGCAGATGTTAGCTCAGGGCTAATCTTCCTCAAAATAAATAAATAAATAATAAAATAAAAAACAGATACATTGGACTTCATCAAAATTTTAAACTTCTCAGCATCAAAGAACATTATGAAGAAAGTGAAAAGACAACCTAGAGAATGGGAGAAAATATTTACAAATCATATATCTGATAAGGATTTAGTATCCAGAATATATAAAGAACTCTTACAACAAAAGACAGACAAATCAATTTTAAAGATGGGTAAAGGGCTTGAATAAAAATTTCTCCAAAGAAGATAAGCAAATGGCCTATAAGTATGTGAAATGATGCTCAACATCATTAGACATTAGGGAAACGCAGATCAAAGCCACAAAGAGATACGTCTTCATGCCCATTGTGATGGCTATAATTTTAAAAATGGAAAATAATAAGCATTGGTGAGGATGTAGAGAAATTGGAAATCTCATACACTACTGATGGGAATGTAAAATGGTACCACCACTATGGAAAACAATTTGGCAGTTTCTCAAAAAGTTAAACAGAGTTACCATACAATCCAGCAATTCCACTCCTGTTTATATACCCAAGAGAAAAACATGTTCAAACAAAAACTTATACACAAATGTTCATAGTGGCGTTTTTCATAATATCCAAACACTGGAAACGACCCAAATATCCATCAACTGATGAATGGATACACAAAATGTGTTATATCCATACAACAAAATATTATTCAGCCATAAAAAGGAATTAAGTACCAATATATGCTACAATATAGATGAACCTTGAAAATATGTTAAGTGAAAAAATCAGACACAAAACACCACATATTGTATGATTTCATTTATATGAAATGTCCAGAATAGGCAAATCCATAGAGACAGAAAGTGTGTTAATGGTTGCCACTAGCTAGATGGAAGGAGGAATGAGTACTGACCGCCAATGGGCATGAAGTTTCTTACTGGGGTGATAAGAACGTCCTGGAATTTGATAGTGGTAATGGTTGCACAACTTTGTAAATATACTAAAACACACTGAATTGTATAAATGGGTGAATTTTATGATATATGAAGCACATCTCAATGAAAAATTTTTTTAAAATCCCTGAGTGGAAGAACCAAAGACAATGTCAAAGAAGTGACACTCACCTAAGTCAAGCTTCTTGATTTGTGAAAAAAATTTCCCTCTAAATGC